GCTTCATTCGGCGCTTCATTCGGCGCTTCATTCGGCGCTTCATTTGTTGGCGCTTTGCCTCCTCCAGTACGTCTGCGGCGTGGTGGTCGCTGTCTTGCTCCTCCTACGCGTCGTGCTGGTGGTGCCATTGTTGTTGCGTGCGTAGTCGGCGTATCGTGTTGTTAGTGCTGTACCGGTTCTGTAGTATCCGTAAACTCAAGTTTTAAACGCGAAGGAACAAAAAATAAGAAAATAAGACTAAGCAGCAATTTGCTTGAGCAGTTCATTTGGTGGTGGTGTTGCAAATCGTTGCAATACAGTGTAAACTCAACGGATGAAAATGCACCTCGGAGGCAAAGTAACAACAACCCCAAGAAAAGGTGCAGTACGGTTTTTGCGTGTTAATTTTGCACACAAAAGAGTCATTACAGTTGCAAAAATAGKGGTACCAAGTATGGTACCGGTCGATTGGGGGGTTAGGGCCTATGTGGTACATTTGGGCGTAGCCGGCGCACCAATAATGGGAGTGCAACTTTAGTTGCATTTGACGAGTACAGTACTTGTACCTTGTTCTGGTAGTGATCCGGACTAATACATAGGTACGTACGTACGATACGATATGATCCTACMACATTTTATACTAATCATATGTTTACTACATATTATAGATATGTAATATATGTAATCAATTAGTCCTATTCCAAGTCGTAAAACCGTCTGTTAGGGACGAGTTTCGTTTGGTGGTCTGCTGTGCGGTGAGCATCGAGGTGCCTTCAAAAAACCAAGTTCAGATTCAGATCAATCACCAAAATCATTCAGGGCCCAATAGCACGTCACACATGCTTTTCGTTTGGAACGAAAGACCGCAAGACAAATCCATCCAGCTATCCAACCTGCGAAAGCGAACGGGCGTTGAGTCGCTCGATCGATAGAACCATGAATATACCCCCGCCGCCACCACCACCGCCGCCGCCACCGCCGCCGCCGCCGCCGCCACCCACCAACGAAGGCGTGCATGGTGCTCTAGACAGTTCAATGCCTCCCCTTCCCCCACCCATCGTGGTAAGTTTCATTATTCTCAGTGGCAATATAATCTTTACTCGGAAATTKCAGCTGTTTGTATTAGTAAAGATGCCTCGAACAAAAGAAGCCATTTGCAAACATTTTGAGAATTCGAAGTTGCGTGTTTTGTTTACTTGTCCTACCGCACTTGTACTTTTGATCTTCTCCACGACAACTACACTTCGAGTTGTGAGTCATCATTATTGCGCGATGCTGACGCTTCTACTTTTCTCATCTGCCGATAGACATTCACAGGGGAAGAGGAGGCTGCAATCAGAAACGCCTTATTGTCTTCGTGCAAAATTTTGGAGGAGGCACGATGTCTGAAATCGGAAAGTGAAGCCAATCTGATGATGTCATCTTCCTTGTTGTCGAATAACGGAAAGGCGGATGTAGATATTTCTGATTTACCTGGAGGTGTTCAGGACGCTTGGGTTGCCCTGTCGAATATTACCCAGCCGGCGAGGGGAAACAGCAGCACAGTGGATACACCTTCCATAAGCCTTCAGGACAAAGATTCTCAAAAGTCGTCGACAATTTTGCCCATCGGCCAGGGACAACTCGGAAAGGTAGCTGCCGTGGCAGCCTTGTCGTCGTGTATCCAGCGCACGAGCCAGCTTTCCAATCGCATTTTTCAGGAACAACAACGCGATGGAACAGTTCTCAAATCAGCAATCGAAACGRCAAAGAGAAAACATATATCGTCGTCCAGCAGTAGTAATACCCAAGCCACTGCTGCAATGACCAACCTTTGGATGAGTGTACTAGATGACCGACTTCGCGAGATCAGATCCTATCATGCCCGTCACTCGAGCAACGAAGTTACTCCAAACAATCGAAATTTTCTGTTTATGAACAATCGTATCAAYAATTCGAACAAGCGAGCGCGATTGGGAAATCCTGGTGCAGACGGTTATGATCTGGCATCAAGTTTGGTAGAAAGCTTAAGTGGGATCAAAGAGGGAACCTCGTTTTTGTCGGAAGAAGTTATGGGTAAATATTTAGATTTGCAACCAATATACGAATCATATGTGCTGCCGATYAAGAGAATCATGATGAAGGAGCCATCGTCATCCTTTGGAATTGTCGACTTTTTGGCGTTTCTCTCAAAGGGAGAAAGCGGTCTGATTGAGGGGATTCCAGAAAATTCAAAACTTAAGCATCGAAAGAAATATGTTCGATTCCTCGCCGCGTTGGAAAATTATTTGGAGGAATTCTTGAAACGGATTCAACCTCTCTTGTCAAAGAATCAAGTGACGCAGGCAGCGGTAAACGCCTTCGAAGAMACATGGAGCAAACAGGGAGGAAGCCCGGGCTGGGAGGCAAAGCCCAGCGAGGCAGTTCTCGTAAATCGGGAATCGTCGTCRACAAAAGGGACTAGTAACGCTCCTAACGATGGAGCAATAAACGGATCCGTTCCCAAGATTGATCTATCATCCTATGCCACAGCTGCCGATTTAGAGAAAGCACTGAACGGTGATTTGCTGAAAGCTGAACTRACTCGACTAGGATTAAAATGTGGGGGCACGGTCACAGATCGAGCGAAAAGGTTATTTTTGACAAAAGATACCCCATTGAGTGAATTGCCCAAGAAATTATTTGCTAAGAAAAAGCCAACGACAACCGAATCAAGTAACGAGAACACTGGCGTAACTAGTACAGCCCATGTCAACGTCAAAAATGAGCGACGGGTCGATATAGCGAAGCGAGAAGTACTAGTGATGGCCTATATCAATCAATTGAAACCAGTTTTAGAGGCAACATTGCGACGTACAGGACGACGCGAAACTCAGACGACAAAAGAACGTGAAAAGGAAATRGATGAAGATCTTCATGGRTCAGCCATTGAAGAATCCAAGAAGAAAACTTCTGGAGAAGGGAAGTACGATAGCGATGACGACACTGACGACGAAGACGCCCCGATTTATAATCCGAAAGGGGTGCCATTGGGTTGGGATGGCAAGCCAATTCCATATTGGTTGTTCAAACTCCACGGCCTAAATCACTTTTACCCGTGTGAGATTTGTGGCGGCGAGTCGTATCGGGGGAGAAAGAATTTCGAGCAACACTTTGCAGAGGCCAGACATTCGTATGGTATGAAGTCTTTAGGGATACCCAACACAAAGCATTTCCACGGTGTCACGAAAATCGAAGATGCCCAAAACCTATGGGAAAAACTGAAGGATCARCTACAGCAAGATCAGTTTGATGGGACCAAAGGAGAAGAGTACGAGGACTCCCACGGAAACGTTTTATCGAGAGCTACATACGAAGATTTGGCMCGCCAGGGTCTACTTTGAGACGAAACTTATCGCCCCAATTCACGACGTCCAGAGATAATCGTTACTGGAGAAATATTTATTTTTCTATCGCATGCTAACTCCAAAATAAAACGTTCAATAGTGTACTTATCGACAAGTGATACTTTTTACCTCACTACTTACTTGTATTTGTATGTCTCTATCTCTAGTGTATGTTCTCGCATTTTGCTATGGCCTTGTTCTTGAGATTTTTTTCCTCAAAATAAAGGGATCCAAGTTACCATGATAGCATAGTATTACTGAAATGAAAATGTCTAGAGCACTGCCCCTGGATTCAGGCAATTGAAAGCATATTTTGTTGTGATTTCCTACATTTCCTTAATATTCTCTCAAAAGTATCCACTGTTTCCTGGGAAAAAATCTTTATAGTTAGTAGTAAAGTTGCTACTACCAGTGTGATAGAAAACATGTTTCAATTTGTCTTTTGTCATCCAAATGGGTTTGTTCCCATCTCAAATTTTGCCATGCTCCCCATGAACTGTGC